TAATGGATGAAAAGATGTTTATTTGATGAATTAGACTGTTTGGTTGTTTAGACTAAGTGGTTGGTACATGTTCATATGTATTATGTGATGATTATTCAATGTGAAATATTATGAAACTTATTGAGTGATTTGTGTGATTTTATGAAATATGTATGAGTAAAATGATATGAGAAAATGATGTGGAAATGAAAGATTACAGTTGAAATTGTATCAATGAATATATGAGTGAAATGGAATTAGTTTGAAAGTGTTTTACTAAGCACGATCTTATGAATAAGAAGAGAATAACTCTGAGAATGACTTAAGAGTCAGATATGGATGGAATCTAGTGTGAATAGTTACAGAGATACACTGGGGGTATAGAGTCCGAAGATGATGAAAATCTGGGAGAAACGTAGGGTAGTGAGCGACATTCGCGTATGTGTACACACTCTTTCTAAGAGCAAATGCATCACATGACCTCACACTCATTTCCTGACTATACTCCTAACTATGTCTTTGCTAAGGGGCCTGATTATTGTACATGTTGTATCCGTGTACATGGACTAACCAGTGACTATTTACCTAGTTGAGTAAGACCTAAAGAAATGTTGGAAGCATCGATATCTGTGATCACAGTGCACTGGGAGTGCGTATTGGAATGAGAGGATGAATAATAGATAATAAATTGTGAATGATGTGTGCTTGAATATATTTGCTTTGTGAAATTAGTGTAAATATGAATATGTTGCATTTATACTAAAAATTATGATTTCATGATATAATGTATGAAAAGGGATACAATAGACGCTCATCCTTACTAAAATTTTCAAGAAACCAAGATGACGGAACCTCAGGGAAGAATTAGACTGGTAGATAGATCAGTACATTTTAGGTTAAATTATGTATTTAATGAATATCAAAGAGAGTGTTATTTTAAATTTGCTGTACTTGTAGAAGATGAACCTAGGGTTTTTGTTGTGATAGAAATGATTTCTCTTATAGTATCTCTTTTGACTTTCCTAGGGGTAGAATACAGCAAATCTGTGTGTATATATGTATAGATGTACTGTTAGAACTCCAGCAGCCCTCATTGATCTTTTCACCTATCATGACCACGACCACGATCATCTCGAAAGATTGACTCGATGGACCTTTGAGCACGTTACTGGCATAGAGGTCAGAGCTGATTCGGGAGATCGTTATTTGAGTTCAGATGATGATCTAGATTTAGAGGATCTGGCTGAGATAAAGAGCTGACACAGGGTTGATAAATAAGACCAGTCTTCAGTGTTGGTGTATAAGTTAAGCCTGCTATGGGTTGTAATTTTGCATATATGATGTAATTATTTTGGCAATGTAATTATTATTCTAAGTCTTATATATTTTGACAAATAGTTTGTAAATTATTATTCTCAATATATAGAATGCATGACAGTCTCTTAAATTCTGAATTTTGATTATCTTTAATACAGCATTTAAAATTTTGTCATATCTAATCTGAATGGAAATATTTGTACAAATTACTATACTATGACGAAGATTTCAGTAATTAGTCATAATAAAGCCCTTTACACATAAATTTTGTATTTTACATCAAATTATAAAGTATAAAATATACATTGCATGGAATTTTGAGATTAGGATGTTACAAATGTGACACGTGTCGAGTATTTCGTATATAAGAAATACGAAAAGCCAAAAGAAAAATTTGAATTTAACTTTGCTGCTCTGCCGACACGTGGCCTAATCAGCGACTTTTGTCCCTGAGTCAGATGAAATCACTATTTCGTGTGAGTCAGGGACGAAAGTCCTTGATTAGGCTACGTGTGGGCGGAGGCAACGATCACCACGCAACCCTCTTCTCCCCTCTCCCTTCCTTAGGTCGAAAACTTCTTCTGCAATTTTTGCCATTCACGTACACCAGTAGCATTGTCTTGGTCATTTTAGCGTGATTTTTGAGTGAGTAAAGTTGTCTTTTTGTTCATCCATTGCAAAACTGTCTCCAACTCTGCTTTCCATTGTCGCCAGTCATGGTTGTTGTTGGACTAGAAGGTTGAGCACGTTGGGAGAACTGGTAACTTTTTAAACCGTCTCTGACAACAAAAGAAGATAGGTAGGAGCTGCTCACCGAAGAGAAGTCGTAGACTAGACAAACTGCCATTGCCGTTGGAAACCCTCCGTTGCTAAAAATTGCCATCTTCGAAGGAGATGTTGTCCAAGGACCAAGTTTCTCCTATATATTACGAAGTATAGTACTTTTAAGAAAGAAGAAAACAGAGAAATAAAAGTGAGATTGAAAGATTGAACTTTAAAGAACTTATTTGGGATCAAAAGGAAAGGACTTTAGAGCTCAGATTCAGAAGAGATTCAAGGTTCAAAGGAGTTTTCTCTGAGGAATGGAAGTGAGAGAACAGAGAAAGAAGTGTGAGAAAGGTTTCTTGGCTTTCAATACAAGTTTTAGAATAAAAATACCTTAAATATCCTTCAAAACTCACGAATTTTTACTTGAGCGAGAAAATTAGACAAAAATTGATTGAGCTAAAACATAACAGAGAGCTGCCCATTTCTATCCTGAATTTTTGCTTGAGCGATGAATTTCTCGTTTAAAAAAGAGTACAGATGAGAAAATTTGATCCATTCTCACTTGAGCGAAAAATCTTCGCTTGAGTTAAAAGGAATATTCTCTCTCTTTCTTTTTTTTTAAGAAAACTCTTTCATTTTGAAAATAAGAAAAATGCAAATGAAAATTAAGGTATTACAATTAGACATGTAGAATAATATTATGTTTGAAATTATTTTACAAATACAGAATGAGTCAAATTATTATAATTGTATATTGGAAATGAAGAATATTTGAAAAAAAATGAAGGTGTGACTTTTGAAGGGAAACACAAAAACGATCAAGATAAGATGAGGAATAAGTTTTGAAATTTTGAAATGAAAAAAAATCATGAGAAATTGAATCTTTCTCATAATCATGTTATATTTAGATTAATTTCACGTTTTTAAATTGATTCAAGTGCTAAACAATATACTTCATATGACGATGAAGATATTAATTGCATGATTAGTGCATATCAACAATAAAAGTAATACAATCGTTATTGGGTTATCTGTAGATGTTGCAATTGGTGAGAGTTCAACGTCTGCCTAACAAATGTTGGACTTAAATTTATCAATGTTACAAAAGGTACAAAATTTTTTATTAAATTATTTTTATTTAAATTATTTGTTATTTAAATTATTTGTTATGAAAACAGATATTTACTAAATTATTGCAATTTTATAAAAGTGGAAATGAAAATGAATATGAAGATGAAGATGGTGATGATGAGGATGTTGATGAAAAACAAATTTTATTAGACAATTCATCTTATATTGACTTGAATAGTAATTTTGATTTGAATTTAAACTTATCACAACAAAGTATTAATATTATTAATGATTGAGATTTTTATTAGGACATAACTGCAAAAAAAATCAATTTATTTCTACAATAATTACATTTAAATACAAAAAAATAAATTCAATTACATTTAAATACAAATAAAATAAATTTAATTATTTAATTCTAATGTATTTATTATTACATCTATATTATTTTATTAGAACATAATTACAAAAAAAATCTATTTATTTCTACAAAAATTATATTTAAATACAAAAAAATCAATTAATCAATTAATAAATATAAATTCACTTATATAATATTATTTTGAATTTTAATTATAATAGTTATGAAATAAATTAGTTATACTAACCTCTTAAAGATCACAAAAGCTAAGAAGAGAGAAAGTTGTAGAAAAATATTGTTGGAGACAATGGCGGTAATATTAATTACAACAATAATAGTAGTGTCAATAACAATAATGGTAGCATTTGTAGAGTAACAAATATAGAGAAAATGGAGAAAGAGAAGAGAAAATTATAAAATAAGTTGGGTCCTAAGGGAGGGAAGGGAGAGGGAAGAGGTGCTAGTACAAGTAGGTACTGTTGACTGGTATAACACATGGTTCAATCCTATAAGTTTTATCTCAGATAAAAAAGATTCGTCTATATCAAAGATGAAACTTATAGAAATTGTGTCATGTGTTAAAGTTGTTCCCATTTAAATTTAATTTAAAAATAAATAAACTTTATCTCTAATATAGACAAAATTTAACAAATTTTTCATAGTGCCCTAATCTCCTATTTTTATCTCTTATGTGATAAAACTTAATTAAAAAAAAATTGTTTTTTACAGTGTGTATTGACAAAACTTTCAACAACATGATAAAAAGGTCCATAAAAAAATTTTTTAAAAAAGTATTATTTTAATATATTTTTAAAAAAAGTATTATTTTATTATTTGGTTGATTTTAAAAATCCTAGATTCAGTACAGAAGTTAAAATAGTATTAAAATAAACTTAATTTTATGACTCTACAAACATAAAACTCAATGTGTTTAGTATTTGTCATCAACATAATTTCATAAAAACTAACGTATAATAACTTTTTAATTAGTTACATTATCATTAAAGATAAAAAAATATTGAATTAAAAAATTTTAAAATTTATTTTTAATAAAACTAAAATTAAAATATTCTAAAAATATAAATATATTTATCCCATTACTTTCTGAGTCGTTTAAGTTTCAAGTCACCAGACACAGAAGGGGTTTAGATGGGATGGATGGCCATGGTCCCACGCGGTTAGTTAGGAGTTATTTTGATTTCAAAGGGTCGGCATTTTTTCAATGCAAAGACTAGTGACGCTGATTCCTTTTTTTATTGTGAAGAACAAAGGTAGTCCGTTTTATGTTTCGGATAGTTCAACTTCGTTGGTGTCCAAAACGTTTTATTTTTATGGCTAATAATAAACAAAAGATTTATAGCACTTTATTATGTGTCAGTGTTTTACTACTATGGGCTTTTACGTGTCCTGTTAGTGCTCTGCATTTCAAACGAGGCTTCCTCGTATCTTCCTATCCTACTCACATATGTATGTATATATTGAGGCTTTGGGTTCTCTCCTCTTTCACCGTAACTAGTGTAATATTATTGGGATTCTGAGAATCGTTAATTTAAAGCTTTGATGTCATCGAAAATGCAGTCTCACAAAGAGCACGAGGGTGACGATGGAAGAAGTCATAGAATTCCAATTCAACAGTTTAAACAGAGACACGGTGATCCAAAGATAGTAACTTTTAGGTACTGTGAATTGTTACTTAAGCTTGAATGACTTGGCCATTTTAAATTTGAGAACTTTTTGTTTATGTACTATTTGATAAAGACTCTATGTTGTCTAACATTATTACATTTAAATTAACATATTTTTTTAATGTGTTTTTAATCACAAATTTACTTTGGTATCTTTGGAGATGAAGTCGAAATTTGATGTTTTTATAACAATTGTGCAGTGGCTTTAATGCGCTGAGAGGGCTGGGGACGAATCATGAGTTGTACCTGGAACGTTTATTCCGAAGAGTGGTAAGAAGTTTGTGTGGCTATTATGTTATAAAACATCGATTTTGACACAGATTATATTCTCTTTCTATTTATCTCAGCTAGTTCTGAGCATCTGCATTTGAAATTTAGAAGTACTTACAAAACATCAATTTTGACACAGACACGGACACACAGCTAATGTTTAAATTATAGGACATTAAGACTATATATATATATTGCTAAGAGTCTTAAGATAATATTTGTCCATCGCAGAAGAAAGAAAATGTGTAAATTTTAATATTTTAACCAATTTTTTATAAATATAATATCTAGTATTGAAGCAATGTCTCGTCTGTGTCAGAATCGTGTTCTACCCTGTTAGAGCCGTCCAGAACGACAAAAAAAAAAAAACACATGCAGACCAATATTCACCCAACACAAACCATATCGCACCATTGTCAGTGTTGCACTGGACACCCAAACATTCCACTGCATAGAAGTTTCAGTGCTCCATAAGAAAGCACTTATCCCATCTAAACTTCAGTTCAAAAACACAGTATATGAAAACTTCCTCAATGTTCTCCACGTCCTTGCAGTTGCGAACTTGTGCTTCCTCAAATACCCGTTTTTGCATGGATTTTTTTTCCTCTAATTTATTTTTTAAGTTAAAATAAAAAGAAAATTACCAAATAAGGAAAAGATGTGCAGGGGAATAAGTATTTTAGAAGTACTGAAAGTTTACTTGAAAAGTAGAAGCGTTAGCCAACTTATCTTGTTTTCTTCTAATTTGTTTTAGTTCTTTCCGCTGAAGCATCTTGATAGGTCTATAAGTAGGCATGCTTGTATTTTGATCTGAATCAGTTTTAAGATAAAAAAAAAATCATCTAATTCAAATATAGAAATTATTTGTGCCTTATTTTAGATCATTTTAAAAATAATACTACATTCAAACCAATTCAATTTAATTTTTTACAGTTTAAAAGAGATTGGTTATTTTATTTTTTACCTTTTTGTATTTTGAGGGTTGAACTTATCTTTTAGTAAAACAATGAAATAAGAAGTTAAATGCATAATAAAATTTATTCGAAGTATTAATTCTTATTATAAATTACGACTTGATCCAAATTATAAATTATAATTCAAAATAATGTTAATTTCTTTTATAAAAAAGTACTTATAATAAACTGAACAGTACCTCAACTTTAAGTTAGAGTTTATTTGAGGAAATAACAAGAAAACAATGATTTGGTTTGCTTCGGTATGAATATAAAAATAAAAACTGGAATGGTTTTTTTCTCGATTAATAACTTATTTGTTTTATTTTAATTTTTTTGTTTGATTAAATGAGTTGAAATTATTTGTATGAGTTGAAATAAGCACCAGGTATCTAAATATGTAAGAGTTTGATGTACGTGAGAATTTTTTTAAACTTCCAATCATGGTTACCTAAATAAACCTTGGCATATATGTATGTATGACCCAGGTACGAGAGGAGGTGGAACATAAATTCCAGGAACATCTATATTCAAGGTTTGTTTCTCTTATCCAACTATGTTCATGAAAAATAATGGTGGTGTGCTTTATATTATGTAGTTGGTTCTGTTTCTTGTTGAATCATAAATTGATTAAATTCCCTCCATTATTTCATTATTTGTTTGACGTTTGACGTTTGACGTTTGATATTCTTCTTTTTAAAGTTGGTGCAGGGGAATGGGTAATCCGGCAAGCACATCAAGAGCCACACCCTTGGAATTGCGTTTCATAAATAAATTGCCTGATACAATTTTCACCTTTTCTAACATGACAGCAAAGGATAAAACACCCATTCAAATTGCTCTCTTTGATGTTAGATCTCAGTCAATCGTTAATGTTGGTCCCCTCTCTTTTGTAAAGACAGAGATATGTGCCCTCGATGGTGAGTTTGGTTTCAATGGAAGTGGGGATTGGACTGAAGGTGAATTCAATGTCAATATCTTGCGCGCGAGAGAGGGTAGAAGGCCATTATTGAATGGAGATAGGTTTAGTACTCTGAAAAATGGGGTGGGTTGTATCAATAAAATTATGTTCACAGATAACTCAAGATGGACAAGAAGCGGAAAATTTAGGTTGGGAGCCAAAGTTGTGCAACCAATTTCCAGTGAAGCAAACATCAGGGAAGCTAGAAGTGATCCTTTTGTTGTTAAAGATTACAGAGGAGAATGTGAGTCTTCAAATTTACTTTCTGCTTCTCATGTTTTGTTGCCAACAAGGACATTTCTATTGTTTTCGTTATTGACAATTTTGTAACTATCTTTGTCTATTTGGAAAACTAACAAAAATGAGGTGAAATTTTGTCATTTTAGCGAACAAGAAACACTACCCTCCTTACTTGCATGATGAAGTTTGGCGTTTAGAGAAAATTGCCAAAAATGGACCTATCCGTGAGCGGTTATCTCTTCATGGAATTGACACCGTTAAGGATCTCTTGCGGTTATACACGACAAACCCATCTTCGTTGTCTGAGGTAAAACTTCAATTTTTTTGGTGTAATAATCACTCATTACTTCCTTAAAACATATAAATAATTAATGAAACTCGTACATAAAATATGTACCTTCACCTTGAACTTTTGCTCTGGAGAGTAGATTGCCAAAATTTCCAAGACTTCATGGGAACATATTATTAAACATGCTAAGACATGTTTAATAGACGATGTCAAGCTTTACGTCTACCGCACAGCTGAGCAATCGATGGGCTTGCTTTTCAATTGCATCTACGTTCTTGTAGGTGTGACATTTGATGATCAAAGTTATCGTTCTTTTGATTCTCTCACCCCCAAAGAGAAGGTATACATTCATATCATACTCAAAATGCGATAAGAAACAGTCTTTTTTAAAGAAAACATTACATTCATATCTAAATCAAAGGTCCCTTCTTCCATTGGCAGCATTTGGTGGAAATATTGAAGCGTCAAGCTTACAAAAATGTGGACAATTTCAAACTAATTGATGAGACATCATTGAGCTGCTTAAGACCATTGGAATGTCTAGGAGCCGGGCAGTCTCATGGAACAGGGCTAGGTCTTCAACCGTTGAATATCTCTACAGGACAAGAAGGTATATCATAATCAAGCCTTTAGAATAGTGGGAGCACTATACAACTTTCTTGTTTTCTATGCACATGTTTTTTAGATATAGCCTAAGAAGTATGGGTACACGATAAGAGACACAAATGCAATAAAAGGACCACGAGGAAAAGATAAATTTAAAGAATTATGTGACACAACGCGACTATAATATATAAAATTAGTAAAAAATAATATAGAAACACAAATCTTAAAAGAAAAGAGAATTTTAATTTTAGTATAGGTGATTTTAGATATGATAAAATTATATAATTATTATAATATTCGCATCTCTGATGATAGAATAGTTAAAAAATAAAAAAATAAAAGTAAATGTGTCTGACATAAATACATATCTGACACGACACGATATAAATACTTGTCTTGTGTAGGTTACAAAGGAACATGGCCAAATTATGCTCAACCATATGCCTCAACTTCATATACGGATGGAGCACATAATTACCAACCCTTTGTTGATCCACTTCTAGACACAAGAGAAATGCAACCAAATAGTTCAGTAGAGGGTGGTTTTTTCTCTAGCGGATCGCATTTGCCAGTTCTGAAAGATGGTTATTCAACGGAGAATGACGGTTCACATGTTCAATTCACAAATTGTGGTGCAACAGGGGGCCAAGAAAATGCCTTTTACTTTGCCTCTTGTGATGAATTTGACAACATGAGAGCAGACTTTTGGCATTCTCATTTCTTCAATTCTACTGGGAACATACCAAGCAATGAAAAACCCAAAACATTGTGGTGTAAGATTCGGAGTGTTCTCAAGTGTGTCATATTAGCCAAAAGGGATGTCGCTGCCAAAAAGAATGCCGAGCTATTAAACTTCTACTATTAGACTATTTTTGTTGTTCTTGTTTGGCTTCTCTAGCTAGAATGCATCTACAAGCTCCATAGATATCATACAAATAGTTTTGCATTTGTGTTTCTTGTAGTTTACCCACTTCAAAGTCAGATGCAGTGTAGTATCAACAATGTCTTGTATGCTTTCTGGGATTATCTAAACGCGGGATTTATTGAAAAATTGGTCAGTGTTTCATGCGTATGCACTTTTTTTTTTCTTTTCATAGCAATTGTTTGAACATTGCATAAACACATGAAATGTGAAGAATGTTCAATAAAGTATTAATGTAATTGATAAAAAAAAATATTTATTCATTATAAGAAAACGAAATATAAAAGCATAACCATTTAAATTAATATATTTAATAATAATAAAAAATATTTGATTGTAATTATTATTTTAATAATAATATAAAAAGTAAAGATATCTTTTTAACCTTAATAAATTCATAAAATTATGTATTCAAAAGTGTGTTCCTAATATTCTTTATTTAAAAATATTAATGTTGAATAGAAAAACTTAACTATTAATAAAAATAAAAAAATTATAATTTTTCTTCAATTGATTAATAATTTAAGCTTAAGCTACAATATTAATTTGATTTAATATAAAAGTTAAAAAACGTATTATATAATGAAAAAAATTGTAATTATCTAAAAATATTGGTATTATAGAATTTTTGTTGGCCTTGTTTTTAGGAACACATTTTTTTAAATACACTCGTTCTGATTGGTTTACTTTTTAAGAAATCAAAACACTTATTTTATAAATTGAACCTTTTTAAAATTTACTTTATTATTGAAAAATTAACCAATTATAAAAAATATGTTAAAAAGTATACTTAGATTGTGTTTTTTAACATTGCTTTTTTAAGACTCATTTAGTAAAAATGATAAGACAATTATATTATTTGACTTTATTTTTAATATTTGTTAATTAATAGAACATGATAACTTATCTTACTGACAAATCTTATTTTATAATTGTAGTTCATATTCTTATCTTGATCGAAGGTAATGGATTATAAAACATCATTATACGATAACTTTTTTTATTATATTTTTACTCATACTTTATATTTTTTAACATCACAAAAATAATTATTTAAAATTTTTTATAATATTTTTTATAAAAAATTAGATGGAAATTTTTAATAAAATATAAAATATATTTTAAAATTTGTTATAACATTTTGTTCTAATTATAATTTTACCTAAAATAAAATCTTAATTGTAAAAAATTTGAATAAAATTATAATAATTTAGTATCAAAATTTAATATAACATGTTCATAAAAATATTTTAAAATTATATATATATTGAAAATTAAAATTTTTAATAAAAATTATTTTAAAAAAGTATTTTAACTTTAATCAAGGAGTAATGTTGTTATTTAAATTTAATTGATATTTTTCTATTTTTATTTATATCATTAAAAATATAACATAAGTTCAATTTGGATAAACTTTTAAAGTTCTTATAGAATAAAAAATAATATAAAAATAAATAATTTTTCATAAATTATAAATAATTTGAAATTTATTATTTTTTTAGAAATTTTTTGATTTAATTTAAAGAAATAAATAATTTTTAACCTATAAAAAAATTTTATTAATTTTTTTCTTCTATAAAACTTTACCTGTGAGTTTACCCAAATTTAGTCATAATGTTATCGATTTTATTATCGTAATGGACATAAACATATGATAGAATAATAATTTATTATTATTTATTTTCATTTATATTATATTATTTTTTATTTTATTATGTTCACTAAATATGTCATTAAAATATTTATTTATTTATTTTGATGGACTGGTTATAGATGCAGTATGTAACATTTTTGGGTTTTAAAAACAATCGACGCTTAAAGGGGGCCCAAGTTTATATTATCGTTTGGGTAAATAGTTTTTGGGTAATAAAGGAAAGCCCTACTATTTATTCATTGACGGAAAAAAAAACATGGCAAAGGCCTACTAGCTTTTCAGTTTGGAAATCGAACTACAATCTCCAATCATAGTAACTTTTTCCCTCACCTCGTTCCAATTCAAACTAGTGGCACTTTGGAAAATATGAGCCGATCCATGTCCACATTGGTCCCAACCTCTGCCTCCACTAACACCATTGTATATAAACCTTTCCCTTTTCTTTTCAACTGTTCAAACTTTGCCAACAAAACCAAAATCACTTCGTATCTCTCGCTCTCGACATATTCCGTTTATTTGAAACCCTACGGTTAGGTTCACAATCAACAACAACCACTAGCGCAGTACAGTTAGTGCAGTACAGTGCTTCTTAGTTCGTACGGTTCCCGTTTATTGCTTCTGAAACGATGTCGTATCGACCAACCGGGAACTCCAGAACCGATGTTCGCCGGAACCGATACAAGGTGGCAGTAGATGCCGAAGAAGGTCGGAGACGGCGGGAGGACACCATGGTGGAGATCCGCAAGAATAGAAGAGAAGAGAGTTTGCAGAAGAAGAGGCGCGAGGGTCTTCAACCTCAGCAACAGATACCTTCATCCGGTCACTCTACTCTCGTAGAGAAGAAGGTCAATTTTCGTGTTCTTTTCTTAATATATGCTATATTTGTTTTTCTATCACTGTGATTGTTTTATTCGTGTCATTTTTATAATAATAATAATAGAAAATTTTGATAGCACTAATTTGTATGATAAATTATAGTTGCTTTTCTGGGTTGCTGCAGTTGGAGCACCTACCGTCAATGGTTGCCGGTGTTTGGACTGATGATAATAACCTGCAGCTGGAGGCAACGACGCAGTTTCGGAAGCTACTTTCGATTGGTTCGTGATTGGTCTCTCTAACACATTTGTTGTTTAGTGAATTTTAATGAAATTTTGATTATTTTGTTTGTTGTGCTTCAGAACGTAGTCCACCGATTGAGGAGGTTATACAGACTGGTGTAGTTTCTCGCTTTGTTGAGTTTCTGATGAGGGAAGACTTTCCACAGTTGCAGGTTTAATCTCTATATTGTATTATTTGTCTGTTTAATTAGAAATTTGAATATTGCTCCTGCTGACATTCATTGGCTGTATGTTGCAGTTCGAGGCAGCTTGGGCTTTGACAAATATAGCTTCTGGAACATCTGAAAACACCAAGGTGGTAATTGATCATGGGGCTGTCCCAATTTTCGTGAAGCTCCTTGCTTCTCCTAGTGATGATGTCCGTGAACAGGTATATTTTACATATTACATGTATCTTAACAAAATTACATGTCTATTGAATACGAAAACTCAAAGATCTAGACTTTTTTGTGTTAATGAAATTAAAAGGGTAGCTCTTGACTATGAAACTTGTTTATTCGTCTTGATTTTTGGATTTGGGTTTTTTTTTCTGTGGGTGTAAAATGGAGAGGGGGGGGGGTAATGCTTGTCTGTTGTGATGAGTGTTTTTTTTTTTATTAATAGGCAGCGGACAACATTAGCAGGAGAACAATACCTTGTAGTTGCATTGTACCGTGCTATCATTTTTTAAAAGCTTAACATTTTGTCCTTGGTGTTTTGCATACTCAGGCAGTGTGGGCCTTAGGTAACGTTGCTGGGGATTCTCCCAGATGCCGTGATCTTGTTCTCAGTCATGGTGCTTTGCTTCCTTTGTTGGCACAACTAAATGAGCATGCCAAGCTTTCTATGCTTAGAAATGCTACCTGGACACTTTCAAACTTCTGTAGGGGGAAGCCACAGCCTCCTTTTGATCAGGTATGAAAATATGAATTGGTTAATCTTTCTGAATAATTAATTATTGATGAAAATGTTTTTCACCCGTTTTCTTTATGCTGTTGTATTGCTCCTCTTCTAAGATGAAGGGCTACATATGTAGTAATCATAGTTGAAATTTGCATGCTGTCTCGTAGGATGAAAGAAAAAGGCATATGTATATTTCTGTTTTACTTTTGAATGTTCTTGTTGAATCAATTGTATGTATCTACCCTATAGATTAGAATGTTATGCTTTTGCTTTATATTGATACCTTGTTAGAGTTGATCTTTTGATCCAATGTACAACATCCTTCTGCATTTTCTTCATTTTATCTATGTGAAATCTTTCTTGCATTTCTTTTATGAAGTTGAAAAGTGTGCTGTTAGGCACTGAAACAAAAGTTTAAACTAGGAGAAATAAGGCAGAGAAGGGATGAGGAAGGAAGTAATGAAAGAATAGTCATTAATGTGTCAAAATTAATTTGTGGACTGAGCATACCAGAAAAGACATCTTGCAGTGTGTGAATGGAGAGGGTCCTTGCTGGGGGAAAATTGAATGTTTATTTGTGTATGTAAGGGGTCATGTGAGGGAGAGGGAAGTTTGGAAAGTAAAGGCCCCTTTGGCCAGGGGGGAGGAGTGTGTGCTCTCTAGTGTTCAATTTTTTTCTTTTTTTCTTTTTTTTTTCTTTCTGCCTTGGTTGGATTTGACTGTATTTTCAGCTTATCAGAAATTTCTTTTTATGAGGAGATGGGTTTCACTTTTACTAGCTGTCTGTGAAATTATACTGGTTGAGTAACATATCCTAGTTGAGTAGCCATTATAATCAAAACTTTGCCTGCTGTACTTGTTTGTGAAATCCATAATATTGAGCAAGTGACATGGTAATGGCCAAACTGGTTAGTCATGGGCTCATAATACCAATGAAAAAAATATCTAGGGGGTTATCCATTGGCTCAATCATTGGTTTTCCAGTATTTGTGTTCTTCTTTGTGTTGTGTCTTCACTGATTGATTTTAAGATGCTAATATTCTCTATTTCACAGATCATACATTTTAATTTGTCTTTTTCATCAGGTTAAGCCTGCACTTCCTGCTCTTGCCCGTCTTATCCATTCAAATGATGAGGAGGTATTGACTGATGCATGTTGGGCACTTTCATATCTTTCTGATGGAACAAATGATAAAATTCAATCTGTAATTGAAGCTGGTGTTTGTCCCCGACTTGTTGAGCTTCTTCTGTGAGTACTCCACTTCTCAAATATGGCTATGGAAATATGCTTGTGCCCATGTGTCGTTTTTCTGTCAAATTCTAAATGCCCTACTCTTGTTCAGGCATCCTTCACCTTCAGTGCTGATTCCTGCTCTTCGGACTGTTGGAAATATTGTCACTGGAGATGATATGCAAACTCAGGTATTAAGTTCAGGATCGTCTCTTGTGGTTGTTATGTAGAACATGTTACTTTGCCTTTCTACATTAAGGAATGAGGAAAGCAGTGATATATTTGCAATATCCTTTTTGGTTTTCCTTTTGTTTTACACGTGAACCTGTAGCATAATGTCTCCATTTTTCTTTTCACTGTTGGAGTTGTATTCTCATTGTTGTCAAGCACTTATATTGTGGTTTTTTTATTGATATTTATTATCTGATTCTTTTTTGCTGTCTGATTGGTTAAGTTTTTGTTTGCTTTCAATATTACTAGATCTTTGTTGTACTGTCATTCCTCTTACCCCTTGTGCACCCATTCATCAAAGTCAAATGTTATTGCGAGAGTGATAAGCTATTAAGCTAATCCTCCTCTTGTGGTGCCGTATATTGATAGGATTCAATTGTGAGGTACGGGACTTGAGTTCCACATTGAAAGTATGGGACTCTAAGTGGGGTTTATAAGGCCTTGGACTCCAACTACAATAGCAAGCTTTTGTGGTGTGGTTCTCTCAAGGTTCTTATCAATTGGTATCAAAGTCTTCCACCATGTCTCCCAGCTGCAAATTATCACTGCAGGTAGTGATGCCAGCATTGCTGTGTTTGCTCAGGACTAGTTGAAGGGGCTAGTGCACAGCCAGCCTGTGTGAGCGCTGGGGCTGTGGAGCGTAGTGGGATGTTAGGATTCAATTGCAAGATATGGGACTTGAGTCTAATGTTGGAAGTGTGAGATTCTAATGTGGGGTTTATAAGGCCTTGGGTTCTCAAACTACAATAGCAAGCTTTTGTGGTGTGATTCTTCCAAGGTTCTTATCATATATAGATAATGGATTTGTACTGTTATAAATTAGGTTTCAGTATTGAAATATGTTCTGTGATGTTTTAGTTTTCAGTTTCTATTTGTCTTAACCTGTATTTTCACCCCATAGGTTATTATCAACCATCAGGCTCTTCATTGCCTTCTGAATCTGTTGACTAATAATTATAAGAAAAGCATCAAGAAGGAAGCTTGCTGGACCATATCAAACATCACCGCTGGGAATAAACAACAGATTCAGGTATAGTTACTTGTTTACTTTATGATAATTACAATTTGAATTTCCCTTAAGTTCTGGTGGCAATAATATTTTCTTCAATTCCTGATAAATTGAATATGCATAGGCTGCGATTGATGCTAATATAATTGGTCCTTTGGTCAATCTGCTTCAAAATGCTGAGTTTGATATCAAGAAAGAGGCTGCTTGGGCCATCTCAAATGCTACATCTGGTGGTTCTCATGAACAAATCAAGTATGGGGGAACATTTGTGTTTTTAATATTTCACGGGATTATTTATAATTTTTTTCTTAGCTTGATATTTATCATTTTCCCTGGTTTTACAGGTACCTGGTAAGTCAAGGGTGTATTAAGCCCTTGTGTGATCTTCTTATCTGTCCTGATCCTAGGATTGTGACAGTTTGTCTGGAAGGCCTTGAAAACATCTTGAAGGTGGGAGAAGCTGATAAAAATTTAGGCAATACTGGTGACGTGAATCTATATGCTCAAATGATTGATGATGCTGAGGGGTTGGAGAAAATTGAGAACCTCCAGAGTCATGACAACACAGAGATTTACGAAAAGGCTGTGAAAATTCTTGAGACATACTGGTTAGAGGAAGAAGATGAGACTATGCCTCCAGGGGATGCTTCTCAGTCAGGGTTCAACTTTGGTGGCGCTGAAGCTCCTGCTGTGCCTTCCGGTGGATTTAACTTCAATTAGAAGACATTTGTGCTTCTACTGGGGTAACATCTTATATCTGGCTTTGTGCTCGTTTGTTCGTAAATTTTTGGCAATTTGCTTGTTTGTCTTTTCTTCAATTGTTGCAATGATTATTCAGAATTCTTTTAATTGCAGGAGTTTTGGCTGGTCTATCATTAAAGTCCTCCATTATGACGGGACAACAATTGGGGGACAAGTCCATGTCCTGTCACTGTCCTTGGGTCGTACAAGGTCCAGCATTGGTAAATAGATGGTTGCTGGATTGGCTTGGGTTTTTCATATCTCATGTGAAAAATGCGTCGTGGCTATATTTTTTCGCCACTGTAGAGAATACTATAATTCTCTTTCTGCCAAGTGATTATTCCACAGAATTAATTAATGTTCAGTCTCGTGATTTTTCCTTTGTTATATGTCAGAATGGGAATCAGTTACAGTTACGATTGTGGGTTTTTTGGCAAATGCCAAATGCTATTACCTGTCCATTACTATAGTAGGAATGTTTGAGTCTGCTTTACCCCCCTCCCCTTGTAAGCCTTTTTTTGTCGGTGAAGTTCCCACCAAAGTTCAATTATTCATTACGTTGTCTTGGTCCTGGTACATTTTGTAGTACTTTAGTACTATGTTTTCAATAGAAAATATCATGCAGCAATTATTGTGCATTCTCAATTATTTTTAGTAGCTCTCCGGCCGTCACACGTTTAATATTATCTTATATTATGAATCCTTGATTTTACGCCGATTTTGCCGACAGAAAACGCAAGACGGATTCGTGGGTTTAATGGAGACTCCGAACCCCCTCAGTGCCATGTTGAAGGTTTCAAACACTGTCGTTTCATATTTTTACCCAAAGAAAAAAAAAACATGAGCGAACTTCTTTTCTTCTTTCGTCCTAGCGGGAACTTAGCAAGCACTCTGTTTTGGTGCCTTTTGCATTTGCTTAATTTGCCGCATTTTCATACTCTTCGCTTAATGTTAGGGAAACTGACTCGTTTAAATACCATACGAAGTAAAGATGATATTATTCTTCTGTTGACACTATACTGAACTTAAGCAGTCAAGTTTAAATGATGGTAAAATTACACATTCTTCGGTTAGGATGTTCTACGCATATTAAGATGATATTTTGATATAAAAGGAAAATCAGAAAGCACTAATAATTTATTTTATTTCATAAATATCAAGGAATGGTGAATTTACACGTAATTAAGCGAATGAGTGTGAAGGGTGATTATAGATAATCATTATCTAATCAAATTCAAATACCTCTTACAGCATTTCGTGTTCAAATCAACATATAATATCCTTTATATATTATATTGATTATTTTAATTAAAAAACTACTAAATAAACTTTTCTATTTATTATGTAATAAATAGTTTTCATTTTTTTTTATAATCAAGCCTCTTTTCTTTAACTTTTGGACAAAAATATTATTTATCCATCAGTTTGAAAGTTCTAAGATAACATCAGTTATTAACTTTTCAATTATTGCATTCTTATTTTTGTCTAAAAAGAATGTTAGTAATACACTTTTTGAAAATGTTTTTATCATAATTCTAATGATTTATTAGTTTTTTTAAAAAAATTTAAAATAAATTTAGAAAATAAGTATTTTGACTTTTTAAAAGAGACCAATTACAAAACAGTTTGAAGAATATATTTTAAAAAACACATTACTTACATTTTATTTTATTTAACTTTTAAATATTTTTTTACATTATAAATGAAAAAGATTAGAAGTTATATTAAAAAATAATAATTTTAATAGTTATATTTCGTAATTTATGCATTATTTTCTTAAATGGACTGATAAATAGAAATACACAATAATACAGTATTAAACAAAATCGTTTGCAATAATCTTGTAATAAAAAAAATATTAACATCATTTTCTAAGTTTAATTTTAAGCATCTAAATTTAATAAAATTTAATTAAAAAATAAATATAATTTTAAATAGAAAATATTTCATTTACTAATAAAATGTTATATTTTTATATACTTAAGAACAGTTCTAAAAATTGATGTCATAAAAAATATTGCGCTTTTAATTTACTTTGAACCTTCAAAATCGAAAAAAGACAACAGGTCAGGGAACGGGGGAAAAGTGAAAGCGCAACGTTGGGGAAATATAGTTGCCTACTTGCTTTTGTAATGCTCCGGATTTCAATCTTCTTCATTTTTTGCGCATTGTTCATTTGAGATTTACTTAATTGAATTTGAATTCACTTAAGTGACACACATTTAGTTTAAACGAAACTTAAAATACCATAAATTTTGGTCGCTTAAGTAACAAAAATTCACTTTAACTAAAAGACATATAAGTGCATCCAAGTGAATCTAATTAAACTTGAGCAAAAATGGAACAAAGAGATCAAGATGAAAAATTTTTAAACCTTAAAAATTCTTCTGTTCGTAAATCTTAAAAACTCCAATTTTTTTTGTAAATAAAAAAAATTAATTTCTAAATCAAATAAAAATTATTTTTTTGTCATTTTTTTCTCTTGTATTTATTTTTTATTATTTTATATATTTTTCATTTATTTCTTTGTTGTATAAAAAAAATCTATGCAACGAACAAGTAATTTTGATAGAGTGGTAGATTCACATTTAACATTATTTAGATCGTAAGAGTTTATTAAGTAGTTGTATACTAACTTGAATCTTGTACCGAGTAGATTTACACAAAATAATGATAACGTAAAAATCAAGCTTTCAAAAAAAAAAAAAAATTCAAACTGACCCTAAAACTCAATTCTCAAAAATCAAGTATTACTAAAAAAAAATCTCAAGTTTTTCAAAACAAAAAAAATATTTTTTAAAACTTATCCAAACCTAATTTAAAAAAAAACTACGTGACTTTGATTTCTCCCTTGCACATAGAGGATACATAGAAGCGGAAGTCTAACTCATTAAGTCCAAAATCTTTTTAATTTTTTTTTAGGTCTAAACTATTTAAAAAATTTTAAACTAAGAGTAACTTCAAATAACTCTTTTTTAAAAAAAAAAAAAGAAAGAAAGAAATTGTCATGTTTATTTCAAAATAAATAAATAAATAAAATATCAAGAAAAAAATTTTAAGGTACATTTCTTTAATATGAAAAATGCAAAAAAAAAAGAATAATATTTTATAAATAATCCATTCTTCTAATTATTAATTTTTTTATTGTGTTTTTTATTTAAAAAATATATATTAAAAGGGATTTTTACTTTAAAGAAAATAAAATATCATGATGAATTTTTTTTTATAAATTTGTTTAATACAAAAAATGCAAAAAAAGGAATAATATTTTATAAATAATCCATTCTCTCACTTATTAAATTTTTTAATTGTATTTCTTTATTTTAAAAATAAAAAAATATAACAACGAGTTTTTACTTTAAAGAAAATAAAATATCAAGATGAATTTTTTTATAAACTTCTTTAATAAAAAAATACAAAAAAAAAAGAATAACATTTGCATAAATAATACATTTCTTTAATTTAAATAATCCTTTAATTTTGTTTCTTTATTTGAAAAATATAAAATTAAAACCTTTTAAAAATTATAAGCTGGGAGTGCTAAACATACACTCTCTAACTTGTAAGAGAGAAGGGGTATTAACCACTAATTGTATAGAAAATCGTTGAGTTTTGTTAGTTAATTCCGTTAGCGTTAGTTGTTAATTAGTTTAGGTTGTTTAGTTTTTTAGCCATGTACGTATATATAAATATCTTTTCTTATTCATTGTAATGAATACTATTCATTTTTATCAATACAAAAATAGAATCATTTATTCTTTCGTTGTGGTCTTTACTTTCTCTATTCTTTAATTTTCTTCTTCTGATTTATTCTTACTGTACGTACCTTACTTCAATTGTATATATGGACTTAAAATTGTGAACTCTATTTCTAGACTATTGAAGTTATATTATGACAGTTCTGTTGCAATATTTATGACTAATAATAACAAGAGTAAAAGTTAAAGTAAACACATCAACATTAAATATTTAGCAATAAAAGAATATATTAAAGGAAAGAAAGTGATCATTAAGCATGTTAATACTAAGTGATGATTGTAATCCTTTGACTAAAAGCATGCCACTAAAAAATCTCATTAGCGTCTTTACATTTTAGGCTTTATGATGGATAGAGTCCTATAAATATTACATATGTTCATTTATTTTTTGTCATTAAATTTACTCTTCTATTCAGGAAATAAAGTTATGTTTTGAGTGAGTAAAATTTTAGAAAAATAAAACCGTATTTTGTGCAGGTTGATTTGCAATGGCTTAAAAGTTAATATTTTGATTTAATTTTGCTTTTAATTTTTTATTTCATCTTAAGCACATAAATAAGAAATGAAAATATAGGGAGGGAGCTTGTTGGATGAGCACAAAGTAACAAATTTTCAAAGATGTGAGGATGGAATAGATAAATGCTTATTATTGGTGGAGATAGAATCAATGACTGAACTCATTTTGGTTAGATATCACAAATGTATGTGAATCATGACCAATATATTCAGTGTATATATGTTTGTGACTAAACTTCGTTCATCTTAATGCAGCACATTCAAAGCCGTGAGAAAGAGGTTCCTCATCATTGGCCAAATACTTCAAAAATCATTCAGCATATCAGATTTGATGAACGCAAACCCAACAAAAAGTCATTAAATTGCTTTCGTTGAGAGTCGAACTCAAGACCTCCCGCTTACTAAACGGGTGCTCTAACCAACTGAGCTACGAAAGCTGTTTGTTACTCTGCAAGAAGATTGAACAATTTCAATGTCAAAGTCCAAAGCAAATTACTTTGTTGACAAATTAGATATGTACTTTATAACTTTATTTAACTCAAAATGAATTTAATAGCATGATGGGGCCAAATACGACTCTTTTAGATATAGATTTAGGCTACTTGTATTGTTAAAAAAACAGTAAGTTAGAAAGAAAGAAAAAAGTTAACTTCAGTTTTTTATAATTGATTTTGAGTAACTAAAACTATGTTACAAAAAAAAGATGATAAATAATTTTTTAATAAAAATAATTATTTTCAAATTATTAAAATTAATTATAAATTCTAAAATTATTTAAAATATATAAAAATAATAATTTTATGCTTATCTTTAACTTTATTGAATGATCTTATTTTAATTTTTCAAGTATTATACAAAATTAAAGTGTGACAGATATTACATTATTTTGTTTCATATATTAGAAATTGACCTATAAAATATTATGGTAGATGCTACTTTTTAGTATTAGGATTTAAATTTAAATCTTAACTTTTTTCTCATATAGATCAAATTTTAATTTTAATTTTCCTTTATATAAATTTAAGTATAAATTTGAATTTTAGTTTTCTTCTCGCAGTAATTGAAAATTGAATTTGTACTTAGTTTCTATAAAATATTTTGTTACAATATAGTCTTTAATTTTTTACAAATTATTATTTTTAATCACTTTAATTGATGTATTCTAATTAAAAACTAACACTTGATAATATTTTAATATACTACGTTAATTAGAAGAACTAAAACGCGTGAAAAAATAGAGACCGTGTTATAACAAAAAATATCAAAAAATTTGTATAATTTTTGTAAAAGATTAAATATTTAATTAAGCCTAAACTTTATTGTAAGTCAAATTGTGAGCACACTCGATGGATCAGGTCTAACATATGAGAGTATAACCCATAGTGTGGTAGAAGACGACAATAAACCATTTAGCAATTAAGGCTGTTATAAATTTGTTTATTTTATTAGTCAGTGATTTTATTGTTGAGCTCATGTAATAATTTGCTCACTATTTATTCATTTTATGCTTTGATGAATGTAAACTACTTAGATAGATGGACCTCAGAATCCCAAGTCATCGTTGAACATCACCTTCCCTGGTGTTACTCTGAAAAGTCCATCTTCACTTCTACACCAGACGTAAACCATCAGCCACATTTCGAATGTTTATTATCTCTTTTATTTAAATAATTTCATTTAAAACATATTTATTATTAATATAATTATAATATTTTTTTAATATATTTTAGACAAAAATCACTTAATAGAAGTGATAACAGTAAAAATGACAATATCAAGACTTATAGTACACATCCCTGTATCAACTTTGATCTCCATTTTTATACACCTGATAAGCACCTGAATTCTTACACCCATATGCGTTGCTTGTATTTTGTTAACAAAAATATAATTTCTTTTAATATTTTTTAAAATAATAATTCATAGATATCTTTATAAAAGAAATAACATTTTTCTAAAAAAATACTTCAAATAATATACAAAATTACAAATAAAATAATTCATTTAAAGTCAAATAAAATACTAAATTACAGTATTGTGTATAAAATATTTATAACAAAATTATTTATTTGATACTTTAATTATGTATGTACCTGTTTGGCTGGAATTTATCCTCATATGGGTTTTTTTTTCATTGACATCCTTAGAAAATAGACACACTTTGAGTATGTTTGGAAGAAAAATTTTGGAAAGAAAAGAAAGGAAAAATATATTTTTTAATTTTAAATTAAAAATTATATATCATTTATAATAATAAATATGATTAATATATTAAATTTATATTTATATATCAATTTATATCTTTTATTTTGAAAAATTATTAATTTTAATATATTTATTTAAAATACAAATTTTGCCTTCCCCTTTTCTTCTCTCGAGAAATCTTTCTTCCCAAAAGACCCCTAGTTATAATAGACCTCAAACAAACTTCATTTTATTGCATCAACTTTTTTGTGGAAGTGTAAGTGTGAGTGTGCATGTGATATCCACTTTAAAAGCAAGATGCATGCCGGCAAAAGAGATACAATGTCAGGAAAAAAAGAAGAAATATTACCGTATATAGCTTAACAGCTCGACTTACTTTAACAACAGCTTGTTAACAGTTAATTGTAGTTAGTTGTTTTTCTATTTCATTGTGTAATACAGTAGCTATATGACAGCTCCATCTTGTAATAAATCAATGAATGCAGAATTCTTTCATCAATTAAAAAAACGGAAAATGAATGAAAAGGAACTATTGAACTACGCACCCGGTTCTGGAGACAAATAATGTTTAAGCAGAGGTTCATGCAACCGCTCTATACATTTTCTGGTCTTGTGTATCCTTTCCTACTGTACCACACTTCCACACCAACCTCTAAAGCTCTTATGCCTCTGACACACCTACTCCACCCTACCTCTCAAGTGGCAAAACAAAAAAAATTGCGAGAGAATTAATATGGTCTCTTCATGCAGAAGATATGGCTTGTCTACTCCAAAACTCCTTGGTCTTCTCTAAGACAAGCTGCATACTATGTCCGAGCAGGCAAGGGATATTGGTGTCAATTGAAAGGTCACACCAATGTGAGTGGCCAAATATTAAAAAAAATTGAATATCATCATGGATCACAAAATGATTTCCTTAATAATTAACAGAACCAACATAACGAAACACATGATAAGAAGCACAGTAGCGCACGTTACCATGCCCCCCTTTTTCTGAGTTCTCTCTGCCTGCATGTCCCATAAACCAAATAATTACCGTTGGAGAAGAGATAAAGAGATAGAAAGGGTACGAAAGAAGCCAGAAACACTGTCAAACTAAAATAATAGACAAGGAACGGAAGTAGGACCTTCTGAAGTTGTTTAAGGCCATCTTCAACTGTGGTTGCAACATTCTGAATGTTGTAGTCTATTCTATCCACAATGGTTCCCTAAATATCGAGGAAGTCAATTGTTAAAAAGGAGGAGAATTGAAATTTTTGTCAAACTCCGCACAGATGTATGTATCTGCTGACCTGGTCTATGACTAGTACTGATAAATCTTTCATAACCTGAGCAAGCTCGTTCACAGATTCCACAACCTATACAAAAAACAAGCAAAAAAAAAATTTTGAGTCCACCAAGAACACAACATCGAGTAAAAATAAGTCATTAATAACAGTGAGTATACAACTTTTGCTTACCTGCTGGATCTCTTTTTCTCTTTCTACTGTGAATGCTTCACTCTTTTTCAGCTTGGCCATCTGATGCGCATTAAAGACCTACATATAAATAACTTTATATCATCAGCAATCAACTAACAAATATTCAATCTCAGGCTCTCAGTGTGTATGACCATAGGGATAATAGAACCATTAAATTAATGTTCCAGTGAATAAATAGTTCATAAACAGGGTAAGGATAAAAATTTTGGTCCTCTAATCCCTTCTCAAGAAACAAAGAAATGAGACAGAAAAAGGAAAGGAAAAAGAAATACCATATTATCCAAGTCATCATCTTCATATCTGGACTTATTTCCATTTAAGTTTATCTCAAGATCAACCCCATCTTGACCCTGCATTGTCATAAAAAGATAATCAAAAGCTTTTAAACAAAATCCATAAGTTAATCAGTGATATTTATAGCATGAGAATTAAGATAATCCAGATAAGAGAAAGGGAATAAGAAAGGTAAGCAGTGCAATTTCCTACAGTATAATATTCCTTAAAAAACAAGAGCATGCATACTTCATCACTTGCTGATGAAAAGGAACACAAAGAGATCATTTGGCTACAACAGAGGAAAAAAATGATAAGACATGAAGGATGCACTTTCATACAATACTCTAAATTAAACTAGAGGGTATTAATTAGATAAAGTAAATCAAATTGAATTGCATAATTGTGTTACTTTTTTGGTTTATTAAATAGTTGCTATAAATAAACTGTGCCAGTTACAAAATAAATCCCCAGGAAAAAAATTGGAAACTATTTTCTTTGTCAATCAATGACAAAAAGGTAAAACAAAAAGCTATTTTCTCACCTCTTTTTGCTGCCTCAGGCGCTTCAAATAAGTGGATTGTTTCTTGCGGAGCTCGACAGAGAGGTTTTGAAGGTCTGTAGCAAGAGAACGCTGCATGCAGTAGACAAAAATAAGAAAATGTTCAAGTAGGTACAATAGCAAGGTTATTGAATAAGTCAGAAAAATATGGAACACATGTTCAGACATAAAGCTTAAACAGTAAAGTCAAGCCACCACCACAGATTCAATTTGATAGACAAATGACCCAGTCATCTTTGCGGCTAAGAAAGAAAGGAAAATTATGCAATCATCAACTAAGTAAATGAACACTGGTCTCTTCCAACCTCATATAGGTTGAGAAATCAAGGCATTTTGGAGAATATTTTACCATAAAGCATAGAAATCATTTTTCATTTAACTTGGGAGATTATTCTAATTTGGTAAATTAATAAATGATCATGAGTCATGACTAGTATACCCTTGCCCAACCATTCAACTTAAAGCATGAGATTTGGAATTACTTAATCAACCACAGAAACTCAATGGTGAGTTGAAGAGAACTCTACAAACACTGAATCGCAACAACGACAAAGGCGGAGAGAACGTGGACTGGAAGAGGATAAAAAGTAAATAGTTATCATTAGCCTTTTCCTGATCCCCTCCCTACCAGGTGCTCCTAATAAAAAGTTTAGATTCTAAGATGTAGCATACTTGACTGCCAGAATAAACTAAACTTGAAATGAGTATCTGTTAGCCTATAGTTAGCATATATGATTAATTTTCATTTTGGCAGGGATTGTATATAAGAACTTAGAATTGTTCACTGTGCAGCACTAAGTAATGAGATACCATATAACTATATCTGCCAATGTGTTATTAGGGCAGTCCTTCGGAATAAATTTTTTGGTGTTATTGGAGAATATTGGGTCTGTCCTTTCACTATGGAGCCCTTTCTTATCACATAATTCAGAAGGTTGATACAAACAAGGAAGTCAAAATTTTGTGATGATGTGATTATTTGGTTGAAGCCTTGGATATGTTATTGGATGGAATTGCCTCTAAGGCTTCTGTCTGCACATCCATAAGGGTGTCTTTAAGTCCATCGATTTGTGGTCTGCCCACACCCTGATAGTAATTTAACTGGAGTTTCCATATGTGACATAGAAAGACTGGATTTGTTGCACTTTTTAGTCTTTTTCCCTTCACAATTCACATTTTCTGATTTGCAGCATATATCCCCTTCTCTCCCACTCATTGTAATTTCTTTCCCTTTTCTCCTTTGATGCACAAATACAATACACGCATATATCATATCCAATAAAGCGATAGAATTATTCCTAAATTATATAGGATAATATTTATGCAGTATATACAAAGACATATATAAAATATTCATAGAACAAAATAAATATATAATTGCAATTCTGAAAATCCAAACTAAGAGTTCTTCTTGAACTTTACAAAATCTAAAAATAGTGTTAATTTCATTCCCTCCTTGAGCATCATCTGTAAAGAAGATCAAGTATTGACGAAGTATCCAAGTATCAAGGTATCGCCATATCAGTATCAGATATGTATCAGATACAATATGAGAAATGCAATTATTTGTGCTTCATCGTTTTCTTGAAAGGCTTCTTTTAACTATCACTAAAAAAATGAAAACAGTATACCATACCAGTGATAACAGGGAAGAGTCAAATGCTTGGTTTATGAAAATCCCACAAAGATTTCAAGTTGAATAAAAAACATTCATTCTTATGGAACAAAAATGAAAATCCATCTTCTATCTCATGAGTATTATGTGAGAGTTCGGCAGTGATACCTGCACATTTTTCCTGACATTGGAATCCTCAGTAGGCCCGGTGGCAGAAAGCCTCCGCAGTCTCTTCTCTGACTTCTTTATTAAGTCAGTTATCTCGTGCGTTAGAGACTCAATAGCACGTTGGTCTTCCTTACCATCTCCAAATGACGGCATCAAAGCCTTCGCATGAGCCTTGGCCAACTCTGCCATTTTTGTTCGTGCACGTTGCACATTTGCTGATATTTCTTCAGATACATCCACCCATGCCGGAGGTAGCCCCACAGTGATTGCATTTGTACCCTTGCTGCATCATTAAAAATAATGAACAATGCAATCCATCTAAATCTTACATAACTTGAAACATGCAGGCATGTTAAAAGCAAAAGACAGAGAACTGAACTATGCATAATAATTTTATAAAACAAGCGCCAATTTTAGAAGAGAAACATCCCTTTCCAAGGTAATTCTAGTTCCCCACAAAAAAATCAAGACGTGTACCTTACCTCACACTATTCACCTGTTAATCCAAAACAGTTATTTTCGCTACGCCACAAATATTATATATCCTTTGCTAGTTCTAAGCTTAAATTCCCTCTAGTTCTAGGCATGGCTTCATGTTTCGAGTCACGAACTTCTAGAGCAAATGTGAACACTCCTAGTGCTATATATATCTAGTTCGTTCTTGCATTTACGAATCGTTGAAAAATAAATAAAAAATATAAAAGAAAAGCTACGGATCTAAGAAAAATAAAAGGCTATTTGGAAATTCGATACACGATGCAATCAATGACAATATAAGACTGTAAGATCTGTGATGTGAAGCGCACCTTGAATTTGCGGGGTCATCGGTACTAAGCGGAGTGTAAGAGCGATTTGGATTGAGAAGCGAGGTACTGACCAATTCGATGACGGGACCACCGCCGGCGCCGGAAGATGTGGACGGCGAGGAAGTGAGTGAGGGAAGACGAACACTCTTCAATGCATCTCTGTGCCTTCTGAAAAGCAAAGTGCGATTCCTCGTCGCCATTCAGATCCCAAACAAATCAAATGAAATGCTTCGTCGTTTCGTAACAGTCAAACCAGAAACAAAGATCGATCGCTTCTCACGTGATCCAGCTTCACCATCAAACGGACAGCACGTGCCATCAAATTTTTTATTTTTTATTTTTTTTTAAATGTTCTCTAAATAAACACATAATACGCTTGCGAGCTAATGTCAGTTGAAGTTAACAACTTAACTCCGGTTTTTGATGCATGCCGTTTTCGGACTATTAGATATTCAATCTTTGGTTTTCCCGATTAACCTGCTGTTGGTCTTGACTGTTCAAGAATCAACAAAATGAATAACAGAATGAAAGGTAAGAGAGAAGTTATGTCAAATTGTCAATACATTAAAAACATGTTTTATTTCTTTAGTTATAACTTGTTATTAAAAAAACAAAATACTTGCACCCAATTAAAAATAGTACTTTGAACCTAAAAACAATTCAGCATTTCTGAAAATAGTTCTTTGTAACCAATTAGCCACTCTTCGTTAAATATTTTTTTCATTTATTTTTAATTTAAAAAACACTTTAAAATTTTGTTACTATATTGTAATAAAAAAGGTAGATAAAAATATCTATCACAAATACATTTTGTGAAAAATATATTATCAATATTATCGTTTGAAAAGCAATTTTTTTATTTATAAAAATATCTAACATCAAAATAAAACTTTCTTGTGACTATATTTTAATGAGTTTAAAAACATAACTGACAGTTAATAAAAAAAAGTATAGCATTAGCAAAACAAATTAATAATGCCTCAATGTTGAAATTTAAATACAAAACATTAATATAGCATATTATAAAATAAAATATTTTTTTAAACAACCAAAAAAATATTTAAAAAATATTTATTCATTTAAAGATCAAAGTTAACAGGGAAAAAAAGGGGGCTTTTATTACACGATACAGAGAAAAAAGAAAGCTTGAATGGTACACAAGTTTTATTGCTTCTAAAATTGTACACAAGTTTAGTGGCATTGCTGGACTTTGAAGTCTGAACTTTGGACCTTTCTTAACGCTGACGTGGCGAGTGGAGGAAACGGGAAATTAAAAAAAAGAGAAATGAAAAAGGCAAATATAATAAAAAAGCAGGGATATATAAATGAATCGAGGAAATAACAGTAGAATTTGCTTTTGCTCCTTCTCCTCACCTTAGCGGCATCGTTGTTCCTTCTCATCTCACTGCTTCACTTTCTCATCCTTCGCAAAACCCTAATCGAGATCGAATCGAACCTTAGAGAACACACCTCATGGACGCCGATTCTTCATGGAGTGCTCGTCTCTCTTCTGCCTCTAGGCGCTACCAATCCGCTCTTCAATCTCGATCAGGTTAAACCTTCTCCACCTCTTCCCTTTACGTTCCCTCGATTAAATTCATCTTTTCCCTCTTTTCTCCTTTTCCTTCTCCTATTCAGACCCTCCCAACAGAAATTTGTTATCGCTTATGAGGTGGTGGGGGTTCGTTTGGATTTTACATATTTTAATGATGTATTTACGAAGAATTGAAACATAAAAAATAAAAATGAAACCTACGTTACGTACATGATTGATTCTCCTCCTCCATGTCAATTGGTAGTCCCCTGAAAGTTGTTCTGCTGATGATTATTTTTTTTTCAAGGTTATTTTGTGTTTCGATTATTGCTACTTGGTAGAGAATTGCGAATTTTATGAAATCCGAAGCGTAATTATGATGATAATAATAGTAATAATCTCTTAAAAGCGCTGCTGGAACTGCTATTCGGTGCTTCATTTTCTGTTACACGGGTTAATGGAAATGGCAATGATAATTGGGGTTTGTGATGTAAAGATCTTGTTCAGCTTTACCAGGGAATAAGATTTATCTTGCAATTTTATGTTGTATAGATTTGCTGACGAGAAGCTTTTGCCCCCCTTTCTCCTTGGGATTTTTATGGTTCTGGTGTTTGTTTATTTTCAAGTATTTAATGTTGATTGTGTGAATGTAGATATGTTCATGGGTTTTGATGAAAATGATGGGGACGACGATATAAGGGAGGAGTTTCTATGTCCGTTTTGTTCTGAGTATTTTGATATTGTTGGATTATGCTGCCACATTGATGAAGAGCATCCAATGGAGGCAAGAAATGGGGTATGACTACTTTCATTTTCTTATACCATTCTTCCAAGCAACTTATAAGATTTCCAGTATTTTCTGTATGATAGATGCTCAAATAGTGCATAACCTTAAATTTTTTTTTTGTTCCTACATATCTTTCCTCCTCTATTTCATATGGGCGGAGTCCAATTGTATACTGAGAATGATATTATGATGTTTAAATTGGAAAAAAATGATACATTTCTTTTTCTGTAAATAGGGATATCGATTGTTTTTCTAATTACAGCATTTCTGTTTGCAGGTATGTCCAGTTTGTGCATTGAGGGTGGGGGTTGATATGGTAGCACACATAACCCTACAACATGGGAGTATATTTAAGATATCCTTTTTTTCTAATAGTAAAATTTGCTTGTGCCAATTTTTAAATTGTTATTAGCATGAAACTTTTCACCTAATTTTGGATTTATTGGGTATTTAATAAGGCAGCCATTATGGGACATGTTGCCAAAAGGTGTTAATTATTTCAAGGCTAATAAAAATAAAATAAAAAAACAACAAAAATAATTATATTTAAACCCAACCCTTGATTGAATTCCTTAACTAGTGAATACATGCAGCGGAAAAGGAAATCACGCAAAGGGGGCTCTTACTCAACACTGTCTTTACTGAGGAGGGAGCTCCGAGAAGGAAATTTCCCATCCCTATTTGGCGGATCTTCATGTATAGTGTCCTCATCTAATGCAGCACCTGATCCGCTGACATCATTTATATTGCCCTTAGCTAATGAACATACCAATTCCCAGCCTCACTTACAGACAGAGACAAGATCATCTAAGAAATGCTCAGATGACACTGCATCAACAAGGTATTTCTGTTTCAGTTTTTAATTCCCTTAAAAATTTGCCACTTCCACTTAATGAAATTCTTCTCTATATTGTGCAAGACTGCAAGTATTTCTGTATGGGTTGGTGCAATACTGTTCCCATTTATGTTTTTCATGCAATAATACCATAGATAGTTTATAGTTATATTAACTGTTTAGAAATTATTTGGTATGGCTCTAGTATTGTAAAATTTTCAGATAAGATTGTATTACTTTAGATGATATTCTTCCTCCTATTCCTCTCTCACCGTTAGTACCAACCATGTGATGCTGGCATGGTCGATTGGTGAATTTATTTCCAGCTTTAAAGGCTATTCAACTGAACATTCTATATGCTTTCCCTAAATCTGGTTTTTTTTTTTTTTCAGATTATTTTCTCATTATTGTTTCTGTATCCTTTCGCCTCTCCAACCAAGCTACTAGTGCTATGTTGCAAACAATGTTTTGTTTCTTGCTAAGGGCATAATATGATGCAAATTATATATCGGGTTTGATTATCTTACTAGTATCTCCTAGTTTCTAACATGTCAAATATTTTCTGTTCAGAAATGTGGAGACGTCAACCTTGTCAGTTAAGGATAAGGAGGAGAAGGCAAAGAGATGCGAGTTTGTTCAAGGTCTGTTGCTGTCCACCATTCTTGATCACAATTTATGAAGGAAAATCATCGAGATGGATGCTTCAGTAGCGGGCTAATTCACAGATGCGATACCTGCAACGTATGGTTTGCCTAGTGAAATTGTCTATGTATTTGATCAGAGTGGAATAAGGAGTAGAAAATGAATGTAATTTATGTTGTATCTGAACTGATGGTTTTAGTTCAAGAGTTTTATCATATCCTTTAATCCCAAATCATAAAAGCTTAAATGAAATAGATCCTTTCCTACTACTGATATTGGTATCATGCTTGGAACTCTTTTTTATTTTTTTTTGGGTGATTCTGGGAAGTTAAAGGAAACCACAGGGTCCCTCATCTTCCCTTTTACGGCGGGCAAATGAGCCAAAACATGTGCTTTCTTAAAAATAACAACAAAAATAAACAATAAGAATCAAATATTATAAAATATCATTCTGAAAATTATAACTGGCACAGCTTGTACGTTTCGGAGTATGAATTTGAGAGGAAATTATGATAATGCCATAAGTTGAAAATTATTACCAACAAAGAGCTAACCGTTAGAATATAAATCCAATCTCCAACCAGATGTACCATTACATTCTTTTTGCGATAAAACTAATTTGAAATTATCAGGCGCATGGTAAATTATTTTTCAGAGTTTTTTTCTCCGATCTTATCGTCCATTCTACGAGGCGGTTTCCTCGTATGCCTTCCATTTCGATAGTCAAGATTCTCATTTAAATGCTTCCTTATTTAAATAAATAGAAAATTTATGAAAAATAGATCAATTATAAATACATTTTAACAAGATTTAAAATTAAAAATATAGGTACGTTTATTATTTTATAGCCTGTTAACTTTAATTTACATTTCAATTTATTCCAACTTTTCTTTAGGTTATTTTGATCATCCGACATTTTATTTTATGCTTGTCCTATCAACTTTTATAATAAAGATGTTAGATGTCACTCTTAGTTCCAATGAGGTAACTAAATTCTAATAAAACCAAACATGCGTAAATGATTTTCATATTAAATCTTTCACATTCTTGACCAGCTTTCTGCATGACCGCCCAATTAAATGAATTAAACTTTGGAAGTAGTCTTTCAGTTCAGAGATGGTGAATCATATTATATATGAACAAGTAAATGAAATATTCTTGTCTTTCTGAACTCCTAACGGAAAAAAGGTGGGCCATTGAACACATTGCAATAATTTCATGCCTAAAGACCTAATCGTAACCACTGTGACGAAATTCTTGTGTCCAAAATCCTCTTCACCACATCTCCTACAAAAGAATCAAAGCAAGATGAACAGCAACCTTTAATCAGACTAGTTTGCCCACCAGCCATTAGTTCAATGTGTGGACAAACAGACGGGGTTGGCACAGTGCAAACTTCGCTCTTCTTGTGCTCCAGACCACAAGCTGCTAGAATTGTGTGCATAGAACTCCTTGTAACATCCTTGAATGTATTGTGGCCTGAATCAATGAAATAAAAGGCATTTTGATGAATTCAGTGAGATGAGCAAGAAAAACACTTTGATGAAACGATGATGCAAATTTCCCTGTTATTAGAAATCATGATGGAAAATTATTCCAATGCTTGATTAAAAAGGGATTAACGCACAGGTACCTCTATGAAGGTTCTCTTCACATCATAGGAAAGCCTGTCCTGATTTTTTGTAATGATCCCGGCCTTGTGGTTTGATAGATAGTCATGTACCATGTCTCTAATGGTGGGGGAAGACCCCACTTTATGTGTTTGAGTCCCGATTGTGGCTAAAAGCCCTCCCTCCCCATATGATAAACGGGAAAAAATGGTAGAAAAAAAAATTATATGTAACTGATAGAAGAAATGCAATACTTACCTAAATCAATATTTTGAGACATGCTCTTCAGGTGGCTTTTAACCATTGACTGCAACTGCTCCTTAGCAATGTGAAAGTTCGTCTCTTCTCTGACAACAGGGGATAAACTACCATCAGTGACAATGTTTGATCTACTGAACTGATGGACTTGTTCACAATCAGGTACAGGGGGGGTCCCTGTAAGTTCAGGCCATAATGTTCCATTCTGCATTAATGGAGAGTTATTGTTGCATAATCTTTCATCAAAAAATGTGTGGTATGATGTTCCCACATCCTGTGTCCTGGTATGCTGAGTGGCTGTTTCCCTACTTTGATCAATTTGAGAGCTATGGAAGTTACTAGTTGAAGTGGTAGCTGAAATACTATTACTTCTTCCAGCTGTAGAAGTCATCCTATCCATTGAAAGTAGCTGTTGAATTTGTCGGTGTATCCAGCGTCTCCCTGATAAAGTTGGTGCCCCTCCAGACACAGGAGAAACTCCTTCAACACTTCTGCCAGGAAATCTAGAAGATGAAAGAGGCCCTAATCCTTGATTAAAAACTGTGCGGGGTGAAGAAATCAAGTTTAGGTCTATACTTTCTCGTACATGTAGAACAGGAGGTGATCTAACAGGAAGGCTCTGGATTGTCACCCTTGAATCAGCCACACCTTCTTGAATTTGGGAGCTTGAAGATCCCAAAGCAACTGGCCTACAACCTTCACAATACCAATTACCTTCAGGAACTTCCCGTCCCAAACCAACACAATATGTGTGTGCAGGGGAATCACAGATATCACAGAGAAGCATGAGGCCATCATCTCCACCTTGATGACACTCTGAACAAATAACATACTCGTATGGATCAATATAGCTCCTGAGTTCTTCTTCAGTGGGCTGATAAACCTGCATATGAAATCAAAACGTATTCACTAGGAGCAATAAATAGAAGAAAGTGCAAAAGCTACGAGGAAGAATTCAAATACCTGGTCACGTTCGGGGACTTGTATCATAACTTCTCTTAAATCAATCCCTGTTGTTGATCGTGCAGGCTTGCTGATTGTTTTGAATCTCTGCTTACACAAAGGGCAGCGAGATTCCACCTTTGCCCACTCCATAATGCAAGCAAAACAAAAGTAGTGAGTGCAACAGTTTAGAACTCCCCTTACTCTTCTTTTATCTTCCTCCGACAGACAAATTCCACACACCTGCTTTCCCACCTCACCTTTTAAATCCTCCACCTTTTCCTTACCCTTTTTTCCCTGAGGTTCTTCTATTTTTTCCTTACCCTTCCGACCAGGAGGCTTCCGTTGCTGATGTAGATCTTCATGGACACCAACCTCTTCATTGTTTATTAGATGGGATGAACTCCTCAAGTTATTTCTCACAACTCCGCACAATTCCTTGGCTTCTCTCACCTGTTCTCTCTCTTCTTCAGATATAGTATACTCAAAATCAGATGATCCAGTAGATGCATAATCTGAATCTGAAAGAAGCACCCTTCTCCTCTTCCGGCCTCGTTTTTTCCAACTAGTTGTCCTAATGGCTGGGCCATTATCTATAAAATCACCTCCGTCGTCACATCTTTCTTTCTTCTTTAACTTCCCATTCTTTCTTAATTTGTTTCTCAAGGGCTTCTTTGATGCTCTAGAACTCCGCCTTTTTCGACCTCTGGTAGAAACTGAAGAGGTCCTTTTCTGCAAAACCTTCTTGTCCACTCTCATGCCATTATTTTTCCTTTTCTCCCCTCTAATTTCTTCTTCCTCATCAGAAAAATCTTCTTCCTCTGGCGTAAATTCATCATCCTCATCATCATAGTCAAAATCCTCATCCTCTTCATCTCCATCTCCATCCTCTTCTTGTTCCTCCTCTTCCTCATCTCCATCCCTCTCCACCTTCTCTTCTTCCTCCTTCTCCACCGCCTCTTTCTCCTTCCTCTCCTTCCACTCCACCTCCTCTTTCTCCTTCCCCTCCTCCTCCTCTTTCTGCTCCCACTCCTCCTCCTTCTCCTCCCACACTTCCTCCTCCTCTTTCTCCTCCCACTCCTCTTCCTCCTCTTCTTCTAGTTGTTCTGCACGTGTTATCCTTCCCCTCTCTATTGAGGCTTTACCTGCACTTTTTTGCTTACCATAAACACCATTTTTGGCCTTTGACCTATTGAAGTTCCCCACTTCTTGAATTTCCTCATCCTCCTCCTCCTCCTCCTCTGCATGTGTAATCTTTCCTCTCTTTCGTGATTTTTTACTTGCATTTTTCCGCCGACCAGAACTGGATTTTTTTGCCTTTGATCTATTGACATTCCTCAATCCTTTAAATTCTTCTTCTTCCTCCTCCTCCTCCTCCATAAAACTATCAATACTCTCCTCTGAAGTACATCCATCTAACGAGGAGCAATAATAGTCAGATGCTTCTCTACCCTCATCCGAAACTACATAGTCCTCATCCGAATCATCAGAACCACCCTCCTTTGACTGAACGCTTTTTCTGAAATTGCGTTTGCCACTAACCTTTCCTCCCCTTACCATCTGCTCACACAAAAATATATTAGAAACCCATTCAAGTCAAGGACTACTAAATGAAAGCCTGTGCAGACAACAAAATCATATCATATCATACCATATATAACAACAACAACCAAGCCCTATCTCACTAGGTAATATTATATCATATCATATACATTAATATAAATTACACACACGATTCTTCAACCCCAGTTTTCCCTTTATTAACTGAACTTAAATGGCGCATTAAAATTATTGCTACCTAGTAAGGAAGTAGCAGCATTCACAAATTACCCCTAACACAGATCTGACTAACCAATTTGCCAAAAACATAACGACGAAATTAACTACAGAGATCCCATAATTTGTTTGCTCACAAACTAAGCGTGCCTAGGCCAACTAAGCAGAACAGTATCGATGAATCATAGCATAACATGAAATTAGGCATCGTTTACCATGAATTTTTCAGCTGGCAGAGAAAGAACCTTCAACACAGAAAAGTAAAAAGGAGAGATAAAGGGCAAAGAAGATCATATGAATCAAAGGCAGAGCAATAATAAGGATAAATAGGCTGTTATGAATTAGATATTATTTATTGAAATTGAAACGTGAGTTGAAGTGGGAATCTTCTAAAGAGAAAAACTAGGGACAAATCAACAAAACGACGGAGAGGATAAGGATTGAGTTACCTGCGAGAGGAGGAACAAAGCAACCAACGATTATTTTGCTTTCCGAATTCCAGATTATGTTTCTTTCCGCAACGCAGGTTTTTGCTTTGTTTTGTTTCTTTGCTTTTCTCTTTTTTTCTTATTTTACTGTATAAATATTTTATTTTATTTTTGCATTGATATACAGCTTCTTCTTTTTTTTTTTCATTTCTAAGAACGTTCAAATGGCGTCCGCATCTCTGCGACCTGGGGGAGGTTACGCTTCAAATTACGAAAATACCATCCTAACACTTATTTGGGTAGATTATAGTAGCATTATACCATCCTAACTCTACAAAAGTTGAAACTGTAACTTCATTTTACGTCATCACTATATTTATTGAAAAATGTTAATTAATTTAAAAAATTAAAAAGTATTAAAATTATCATAAATCTAATTTTATTTTTAAAATTTTGTAATCAATATTCTAAAAACACTAGACTCGTACTTCTTTTCCCCCTTTACAAATACACGATTTACTCAAAATTTAATATTAATAGAATGAAATTATATAGCGAGTAAAGCAAAATAAGTGTTAATAAAAAATGTATATAAAAGAATAAATCAAGATTTAAATTTACATTTTCATTGAAACTACTTAGATTTAATGTTCAACCTCTGTGAACAATAGTTGGAAAAATAAATAAACTGATGATAGAAACAGTATGTAACCGTCAAGTGTTTCGCTTCGATTCATTAGTGTTAATATTCGTTAGTCGAGTTTGAGTCCAAAGAGTGTGAAGTTTTTCTAATTAATAAAATAGGAAAATATTAAAAAAATTGCATGTAAACCATTTGGCATTAAAGTATCTTTTGGAAGTTGACGATAATGCCCCGCTGTGGAGAGCAGTTGAACTGCACTGGACTTTGGAAAATAGATTGAATTGAAAACGAAAACTCCTATGCACAACTCATGACCGTACACGTAAGCGTGGTTGGTGGAGAACGGCACCGTTTCAGTTGAAGGAAGGAGAAACGCAGTGGGTTTGAAGATGACGGACACGTGTAGGGCAGAGAAATGGAGAGAGAAAGGGTGCGAAAGAACGAAAGGGCCGTTTCGTTAACAACAATGGTAACATTATTACACCGCCCACCGCTCTATGAATCGGCTTCCGCAAGCTAACCTAGCGTTTTGGCGCTACTCTTTTTTCTATTTTTATAACCATCCAATAAGTTAAGCCATGAAAATTAATTTCACTGCCATTATGTGGATTCTCTGCTTTTCCTTTAAAATTATGCTGTTTCTGAACTTGGTTCATCAAAATCATGACCCGCACCTATTCTTATAGCTTAGAGAGATAGTACCTCGAACGTGGCCTTTACTATTTATGATAGCTAAAATCACATAGCCCTATTTTCCTCCCTTGTCATAAAATTATGGTTATAAGAATTTAAATTTGGTTGAGTATTAGCTTAAAAAAAGTATTACACTTACATTCAATGATACGTTCTTTTTCTTCTCCTTTTATCTCTCTCTCTCCACTATTCCAAACGAAAAGGATTATCAAAATCTCTCTTTACAATTTCCTTCTCCCCAAAGTTATGTGACCATGCGTTACCCTAGAAGTACGAATTTCAAACAACAACACGGATTATTATTCTGCATGCATTCAATGTTCGTGATCCGGTGATATTATTATACAGAAGCGAGGAAGTTTAATTGATATAAATGTCGGTTAGTCATTTTTTGTCTTCTAAATTTTCCATCTCTTTGATATCATTTTGCTTTTCATTTTGTTCAAAATTATTTATTTTACATGTAATTTTTAAAAACTAAAAAACTCAATGAAAATATTTTATTTAAACCGCCAAAAAAATTAAATTGAATTACTCTTTAAACTGCATTGTACTTAATATTTATGATTATATGATGTAGTTTTATGTTTAAAACAATTATAAATTAAACTATAAATACCTCTAATGATCAAACTTCTGTTACTAATTATTAAAAATATAAATTAGTTGAATGGAGTCAAGTATTTAAAATTAATTTTTTATGAAAAATTAAAATGTTATAATCATTTGTTTAAAATATAACTTAAAAAATAAAATTATATATATATATATATATATATTATTTACAAAATACTATCATGAAAGTTATAAGTTTTAAATTTGACTTATTAAAATACTTAAATAAGTATTTGATAAATTAAACTTCAATAATTTATTAATTAAAAAATATTAAAATATTATAACCAATCAAACACAAACACATATTTAAGAATTTATATATAACAAATTCAAATAAATTTTTATAAACCATTTTAAATGCTCTCTTCTACCACAAAAACACATGGATCAACTAGCTCTAAAAGTGACACTTATTGTTCATAATAGTTGAACCCGACTCAAATAGCATTACTAAGGTCCAATGATACTCATGGTCTATACAAAAAGGTGCTCTCTTTGATTTTGACCACTAAAATTAAAATCTTAACCTCATCTTCCCTTACCTCTGATGAATGTACAAATTTTTTAAGCGTGATGAAATTCATATGTGAAATTAATCTAGGAAGCTATCCTATATATAATCCAAGTGGGTTTTCTCACTTTCAAATTTTATCTCCAAAATACGAGGTGAATCCAACGTTGATAACTTGCACACTGCACAATGCCTCCGTCTCCCTCGCCAATCCATTTTATAAATAATAAAGGCTTTAGCTTTAGAATGGAACTATAATCTGTTTCTCCTTTCTTTTCAACTAAAATGCAGATTAAGTGGTCTCTTTGTTGTTCTTAGTGTTTGTTAGGTGAATGTTGAGTTGTCTAATTAAATTATTAGTGAGTTCAATGATGCTTATGGAATTGACATGCACGAGGGAATTTGGAAGGTGTTCAAAATTTATTTTCGTTGCATGCTTTTTGCCTTCATGAAATAAACCTTTAGAAAGGATGCTGGTACTTTCGGATCAATAAAATTGTAATAACAAAACGATTTTAAGAATAGAAAATGCGATAGTCAAATGGTGTTGCTGCGATATTCTGAAATTTTTTTTATGGATACTCTACCTAAAAAATTTATACCAATAAAAAGAAAACACATGATAAATTATAAAAAATATATATTATTATAAATAATTTATTTAAAATTATATTATTTATATTATTTACTATTTAGTTCTTATATGTATTTAAAATTTAAGATTTTTAATATAACTCCAACTTGCATAACCCTTGTCCATTAATAAACTTAATTTTGGTTTTAACATTGTTCTATTAATAAATAATAAAGATAAATTTGTAAAAGACTTTTTATGCAAATATAAAATAAAAGTGTAAGTTTTTTTCATTTACAAATTAAAAATTATATAAAATATATAAACCAAATGCATAATTGATTTTTTAAAGTCAAAATTATCAATTATTTGATTAACATTTCACAAATGGTGCAAGTTGCTAGTATAGGCCATTGTATTTGACATCATTGCATGGCCCTTCATTTGGTTCGTTGCGTGTTTTACATAAAGTGTATTATAATCTCTTTTGTTCAAATTAGGGTGAATCTTGGAAATGGGCTTGATGCTCCAGTGGGATAAAATAGCACCTTGATTTTTGGTTGAGCTAGTTGCCAACAAACTTCGTTGTTTAGATGTGAACAAATATTAAAAAGGTTGTGTTAGGTCATTTTTAAATTTTTATGTGGGTAACATGTTCTGTCAACAAAATTATGTTTTAACTATCTGCACTAATAAGAAATAAAATCTTTCAATAATTTCCTATAAATGATAGTTGCACAATCTAATAAGGTATTAACATATTTGGGCCTATATACATGTCAAAGGCATGTAAAAAAGAGACTTGACACATAATTGAACATGTATCATGCATTGCATCTTGCATAGATTGTGTGCATTGATCTTGTATTGTATATAAAAATGTGTATTCAAATGTGTAGTATTTGTTAGAATTATTTAATAAATTTTGTGAACTGCAATCAAATGTTATTTTATTTTTAATAAAAACAGACTAATTCATTATTTAGATGAAGTATATAAATAAGTCTAATAATTACTTTAAGTAATCCTTTTCTTTAAACTTAAATATCTATATTAGTTAACGTGAATTAAAGTGTAAGCTTTAACAAAAAAAAGTCTATAATAGGAGGGAACTAGAGTTAATATGTTATATATTTGGTTAAATTCCTTCTGTAGTCATCAATCATTATGTGATAAAATGAATTGTTCTACAACTTGCCCCTTTAAGTGTTGTGATATGAGAAAGTGAATTACATAGAAAGTTTGAGCATACTGTTTCTCACAAAATTTAGAGTTCGTACACAATGACTTTTATGATAAAGACTATGTCTTCAATAAGCCTAAAACTCTATTATTATTATTAGTATTTCTAATTATCTTTGTTGTTCTAAGTTTATGTAATGTCATGTGAATAAATTATTCTTACATTTGGTATCAGAGCCTAAATTATATGATTTTGAACTCATTTATTTTATTAATTCTTTACTACAAATTAAAATTTATGTTTGAATATGGTTATGTGATTTAGAATAACAAATTCAATTGGGAATTGATTTATTAATGTGGCTATTAAAGACACGTTGCTCTAAGAGATCAATTTACTTAGAAGAAATAAATTTAAAACCCAGCATATGCTCATCTGAATAGCATAATTTGAAATTTATGAATGAAGTTATTAAAGATACATTGGTCTAAAAAATTTGATTGACTAAAGAGGATAGATTTTTGAACCCATTATATGTTTACTAAGTAACTTATCGTATGAGGTTCTAACTTTGGTGATCTTGATTTGCACATTTTGTCCAAAGAAGAATGTGTAATTGTGTTGATCTCATTGTAATAACTTATATTGGTTGAAGCTATGTATTGTTTTTATTATATTATAACACATTATTAGCTTTTATCATTATTATTATAAGTTTTAGTTTTCATTGTTATAACGTAATATTTAGTTATAATTTAATATTTAAATATTTTAATATATAGTTATTACTATTTGAATGCAAAACATACTGAGAATGTGATTGATAATTGAAGAATGACCAATAAAGATATTTTTTGATGCTTTTGTCTATTGATTGAGTCTTGATTTTAGACATAAGAGAATTGATTCATCTATAAAAATTTTCATGATTGCTACAAGTTGTTACCACTAAAGTAGGACCATTTGTATTGGTTTGTGAAAATATTTGTAATTTGAGAAATATTTTTATTCGTGCATGCAATTACCTGTCCAAAGGGGGGTGCTTGTATGTTTTGGTTGAAAGTTGAAAATGGATAAAGTTATTAGAGAATGAACTAGGTTGAAAAATTTGTTGCCTAAAGGAAATAATTTTCTGAGTACAATGTGTGCTCATAGATTAACCCATTTGAAGTATTACTTGGGTAAATGATCTTGATTTGTGCATTCTGCCTAAAGAGAAATATACTATTTTTATTGGCCTCACTTTGATAGTTTTTTACCTTCTTAAGATATATCTTCTCTTGTAATATGTTATGATGTATTCTTGTTTTGTCTTGATAGTGAATTTTATATATATATATTTCGTGTAATGCCCCAAATTTTAAATTTTAGTAATATTAATTATTATTATTCTTATATATATATATATATATATATATATTCATATATGTGTTGATTTATTTAAAAATGATATTTTATGTGTATTAAGTATATGGATGTGTGTATGTATGACTGGATAGGCTGAAAATGGGCTAAGTGCCTAAGTGCGAGGCGTAACATTGGGTTGTTCTCGCTGCAGCGAGAGTATTCTCGCTGTAGTGAGAGGGCCCTGAGAGGAAGGATCAGAATTGTCGCCTTCTCGCTGTAGCGACAGAGCGACAATTTGGAGTGCATTTT